GCTCCCGGCGACTGGATGGACCGACGGAGCACGCCGCCCGCGCCACCCCGTCCAGGCTCCTGTGGAGGGCAAAAGGCTGCGTGAAGGTGGTGAACTCGTTGAGGCCCTTCGACAACACCGCCCTGGCCGGCTGCTCGGCGAAGAGCCGCGCATGCAGGAAGTCGACCGGGTCCCCACCGCCACGCGAGTCGCCCGCGAAGCTGAGCCAAATGTCGGAGTCCAGCAGCACCGTGTACTCGAACCGGTACCCTAGCGCCAGCTGCCACTCCGCCGCCGCGAGATAGCGCGAGAGCTTGCTCTCCTGTATCGTGCTGTTGGGCAGGAACAGATGCGCGAACCGCGCGCTGTCCGGGCGATCCGCGGCAGCCAGGTCGTGCTGCCAGGTCACCAACAGCAGGTGGACGTCATCCCGCCGCTCCCACAGGCGGCTCCACGGAGGCTGGCGGCGCGCACGCGGCGGTGGCGCGAGGGGGGCGGCCTTCTAAGAAAGGGGGGGGGCTTCCAAGAAGGGAGGGGGGCTTCCTGGGAGCCCTCCTGGCTTCTGCGAGGCTCTCGGGGGCCTCCCTGGGCCGCGGCAAGAGGGCCATGTACCTTCCAAGAGGCGCCCCCTGAGATACGACGTAGCAAAAAAAAAAAATGCAACGTCACAAAAATCACGCAGGCAGCCCTAGACCCTATCTATGTACGTCATTGTTCGGGCTGGATCGATCTGTGAGGGTCCCAGGGCCCCAAAACACGCGAAAACGCCCAGCTCGAAAAAAATGAAACGCTAGACAGGGCAGGCCACCCCCCTCGCGCCGCCCCCTGGTGCTCGCCGCCAGGGAGACTCCTGCTCCAGCCTGCCTGGGCTCAGCACCGCGTACAGCAGCCGCCCGCGGCGCAGCGGCAGCGCCTGCAGCTCCACCTGCCGCTCGTGCAGAAAGCCGCGCCCGGCCGGCTCCCCCGCGCCGACGCTCCTCCTCGCCGAGCGCGCGCACCGGGCCGGGCCGGCCGCCAGGGCAGCTGCCTCTCGGCCGGACCTGTGCCTCGCGGCGAGGATCGGATAGAAGGTCCGCCTGGTGAGGCATCGAGGAAGAAAGGAAGCACGCGCACAGAAGGCTTGGAAGATCCGCGGGCTTCTGGAGTGGGCGCTGGACCCCCTGGCGGCGCCTCCGGCGCTCCAGGCAGGCGTCTCCAGCGCCAATCGAGGAAATCCGCGCGGGCCTCCGAAGATCTGTGTTTGCACAGTTTTTCCCTCCTTCGAGAAGTAGCCCTTCCAAAACTTGCCATTCAGCCAGATGGTCTTGTCTGGTCCCAGGTGCTCCCCGATGAGTGACTGGTCCTGGCCGCAAGCTGGCACGGCCAGCTCGTAGGCCGCATCGCCCCGCATCCGCTGCACCACCCCGCGACCATAGCCGCCGAAGCCGAGGAGCCAGTGCGGGACGCACCTCGCCAGGTTGTTCGCCATGTGAGCGACGATCAAGAACGGGTCTTACGCGAGATGACGTAGCGACCTCACGCGGCGCCTTACGCGGGCCGCCAGCGCGGCGCGCTACCTTGGAAGCGAGGGCGCCCAAGCGCGACCTGACGCGGGCAGCTTACGCGCCAATGTCGGCGCTGACGACCACGTTTTTCGGCATCGCTCATGTCGCGCAGGCTCCACGGGAACCAGGACAGGAGGGCCGCCATCCTCGGCTCCACGTGGCCCTCGGAAGGCGCAGGGCAGTCACGCTGCAGGTCGCGGCCGCGGGCGCCGGGCCGCCAGGGGGCCCCGAAGTGGAGCACGCGCAGCAGCACGCAGGCCGACACGTGCGCGGGCCACAGCAGGCCCGCCGCGACGCCCGTGCGCCATCGCGCGAACCAGCCGCACGGGTCGCCTGGGCCGCCCTCGAAGCCGCCAGGGAAGAGCTGGCCGACGGCATCCCCGTGGTAGGCCACCATGGAGTCCTCCCAGACCACGACGCTCTGCACGTCGTGCCCCGGCAGCGCCGGGCCGTCGCGGTGCGGCACCCAGGGCATGCCCACGGCGGGCTGCCAGAGCAGCAGCCAGTCCCGCCACGCCAGCGCCTCCTGCGCGTCCCACGTCAGCCCGGCCCGCGCGTCCACCAGCAGCCAGTAGTCGAACCTGGCCCCACCGCGCACCTCAAGGTCGCAGGCGCGCCCGATCGCCGCGGCGACAGTGGCGGACCAGAGGGTCTCCTCCGCCCCCCGCCCTGCAGCGCGCGGGAGGCGGGGCAGCAGCAGACAGCAGGCCAGGGCGGGGCAGCGAGGGGGAGGGGGGAGGGAGGCGGGAGGAGGGAGAGGAGGCAGGCAAGGAGAGGCAGGGCAGGCTGAGGGGAAAGGAAACGAGAGGAGGAGGAGGGAGAGGAGAGAGGGAGGAAGGAGGGAGGAAGGAGGGAGGACGAGAGGAGAGCAGAATAAGGAGGAGGCGGAGGAGGAGGCGAGGGGGCCGAGGCGGGGCGACCGCGATGGGCTGCGAGGGAACTCCTCCGCCCCCGGCGCGACGACGACGGCGTCCGCCAGGCCGAGCAGCAGGGCCCGCGCCGCGGGCGCCGACCTCAGCCACATGAGGCGCGCGCGAGGAGGAGGAGGAGGAGGAGGAGGAGGAGGAGGAGGAGGCAGAGGAGGCATAGGAGGAGGTGGAAGAGGAGGAGGAGGAAGAGGAGGAGGAGGAGGAGGGGAGGAGGAGGAGGAGGAGGAGGAGGAGGAGGAGGAGGACCAGTGGAAAGCCAAGAGTCATCAGCGATGTTGGAATAAACCCTCCCTCCAAGCTCCCTCTTCATAGGCCCCTCTACAACGGCTCGTTTCCACTGAGGGAATTGCGCCGTTGGAAGCCAACCGTTTGAAGACCCTGAAGCAAGCCAAAACAAGTTCCTCTGGATCTCAAAGCCACGGATCAACAAAACTGTTGAGTCTGGACGATATTGAACCGTGCCAAAACACCATCCCTGAGACTTCAACACAGAGAATCAACGTAAGTGTTGCACCCTCATAATCCTGAATCATTCCTAAACGCCATTTGTGGTACGCTGATCATGGGAATCCGTGAAACTATTGAAAATGTATGTTGGTTGGGCCTATATATGTTTATAATTAAAAACGAGAGCCACATTTTGAAAATCACCCGCCCTCAATCCGCGAAACTCTTATAGTGTCTAAGACGAATGTGCGCGGCGCTATGTCGAGAACCACATGTTGAAAACCACCCACCCTCACTCCGTGAAACTCTTGCAAGTGTTTTAAACGAAATGTGCGCGGAGCTGAGGCGAGAGCGACATTACAAAAACCACCCGCCCTCAGTGCGTGAAGCTCTTGTATTGTTCAACGAGTGTGCGCGGCGCTAAGGCAAGAGCCACATGTTGAAAACCACACGCCCTCAATCCATGAAACGGTTGCCATGTTTTAAGCTTCGGGGTCATAAATGGCGACGAAGTCTCAGGCGAAACGCCCAGCCCGCCCTAAAAACTGGCCTCGGTGTGCGACAGGGAGAAGCGATGTATAAGGAGAAGGAATGGAGGGGGGGGCAGGAGGACGAGGACGTAAACTCGGCTGAGCCTGAGGAAAAAAAACAGCCCCCGATCGACCTGAAGGCTTTCAGCCTCGCCCGCCTGGGCCGCTCGGCGAGGCGAGCGCTCTGCGAGAAAGCTTCGTTGGGGGCTTGACGACTTGGAGGAGGCGGAGGAGGAGGAGGAGGAGGAGGAGGAAGAGGAGGAGGAGGAGGAGGGGGAGGAGGAGGAGGAGGAGGGGGAGGAGGAGGAGGAGGGCACAGGGCCAAGAGAAGAGAGAGCGGACAAGACGCGAGCAAGGGACAAGAGGGCAAGCGGATAAGAGCCGAAGGGGGGAGGAGAGGGCATCCCAGCACCACGCGCCTCATCGAAGAAGCACCTGAAGCCCAGGCCAGCGACGCATCATCTTCTTGATGCGAGCAGACGCCATGAGACGCAGGGGGATAACCCTCTGGACAAGTGCGGATTCCTTACTATCGTGGTAAACAGAGCAGAGGACATCGATGCACACAGCAGCAGACACCAGCTCGGATTTCGAGGCAGGCAAAAGAGGATGGAAAGCGGCACGCTGGGCACCACTGGCATTGAGAAAGCGCTCGGGTAGATGGGGCAACAAGGGATAGATGCACTGTACGGAGCTACACTCTAGATAATGACGGAGCGAACCAGGGCAGGTTCTGACTTTACAGAAGTGGCACGCACGGGCAGGCCCTGGGAACCTGGCCGACGTGGTCCAGGCGTTGCAAATGGTACGATAAACACTAGCAACAATACAGGCAGGCGCGGCTTGGGCGAGTCTGCAAACCGCCATGGTTAGCGACATGCAATCGTTCATAGTCATCGGACGTCCGAGGTGGTGCCCAGCTCTGCTAGCTAGACAAGTGGCATCCATATCAGAACGCCGACGACGGAGAATACGCTCAGTTTCCATTTGCATTCGAAACTGCGCGACTGAAGGCACATGAGGGATGGCAGTGAGAGCGAGATAATTGTCAATCAAAAGAGAGAACATGCTAGACTTGCATCAGGAATGATGGCGCCATAAATAAATACAATCGTCAGAATCGCTGAAACCATCCAGGAGGTCCCGAATTTCGAAAAATGCAGGAGTGGCACAGGCCAGCCTAAACAAGGCCGCACGGGAAACGCACTGCAAGTCCCTAACCTCACAGGGAAACCACAAGCTTTTTAAATCAGTGAGCATGCCAGTCGAGAAAGCGTTGCGAGGGGCAGGCGTCATATGTTTGCACAGCAGTGTCGACAGCACGCAGGGCCTCAGTAGACGGGCGATAGTACTGCATGACGTGCGATAAGGCAGAGAAACCAACTGAGTTGAACTGCACGATGCTCTTGGCGAGCCCCAGGGACAAGTGCTTGATGGCCCGTGCGC